CTCGATGTTTATCAAATTTATTTTAATAATCTAATTTTTCCAGAAATGTATATATATTATTTACGGAGAATTGAGAGGAATGTCACGACTAAGATGGTCTTTTCATGTCGCGTTTTCGTTTCCGTTGCAACAAAAAATTGTAGCGATGGAGATTTTATACTATCTGGGATTATACAATGTTCGAAAGGATAGCTCTTCTCTTTTTCGGCAACTTACGGTAACTAATAGAAATCCTTGAACGCAAAATAAATAGCGAAATACACTAACAATGCCAGAAGCATCAAGTTGAACGTGTTGTCGATGACATCAACGGATCTACGATATAAGATATCGCATAATGTAACATGGAGTAATTTTAAATAAACAATTTTAAATAAAAGCAATATCTTAAAGGCATATTTCTAACAATAAGATGTATAATGTGTCTAAAACGGCTGCAAACGATGCATTTATCTAACATAATACAAAAGTACTGTATATATGAGAATCTATTTTTTGACGTTAAAATTTTCGATACATATTAAATTTATCATACGTATTACGTGAAACTGCGATATGAAGTGTATATATTTATATTGAGTTTTTAACAAATAACGATGTCGTCTGAATCCGTATCATTTATTTAATATAAAAATGCACAATATATAATCTATTTGTTATAGGTTTATATATTTATTACGGCTAATTATATAAATAATGTGATAATAAAAATATTATTAGAATATTTTTAATGAACACGTTCGAGTTTTTAAAAAATTATATAAATATTATATAAGAACCTCAATATAATATTTAAATCTTTATATATAAGTGTATAAATTACAGAGCTTTTAAACGCAGAGAATTTAAAGAACAACCTAATGAGACGTAGATGATCCTCAATATTGAAGGATAATCCGTGCTGAAGCTTTTGAAATCGTTCAAATTAAGCAATCGTACTTTGAGAATATCCAGCTGAGCGCAGATATGAAATACAAGTAGACCCAAAAAATTATCGATGCCCGTGTAAGAAATCGCGGCCATTATGATCGACGTTGCTTGAGCGACGAACGCGATTTCGTAATATGGGCTCTCTGTCATGTCACGAAGGTAATAGGTTTGCAACAGCAACGGCTTCGCACCATCCGTGAGATTCGTCAGATATCGTATAGAGTATCCAAAGCAAGGTGGAATGATGAGAGCGACAGATGCGAAACTCATCATGATACATCCGAACATAACGATCGCTTTCGCGATTTTCGCTTGCTTTATCATGGTATCTCGTTCTTGCACTGTCTTCGTTTTGATCCAATCGTTCACGATCATGTTTATGATCGGTACAAGATCTTCGGAGAGGAAATTTCAAAATTTACGGATGAAGTTGCAATACTCTTAAGAAAAAATAGATAAAGTAAATCTACCGAATAAAATAAACTATCATATTCATGTCGACTTACCTCCTTTGCGGAACCACATAATAACAAATTTCAAGACAGTCACCGAAAATGGTAGAGCGATCTGCAGATTGTCTGCCATCGCCACAATGTCACCCCAGACCCTCAACAATGCTAACATCCCGGGTATAACCGATGTGATAAACATCGTGATAAAGATAATGAAGGCGCGTAGATTTGCGAAAAATTTTTGCCAATGACTTAACTTATCGTCCGGCCAGAGACCAAGGATCTTCAGAGAAATTCGATTTATTCCGATCGCCCAATCTAAGTCTATGTAAATTCCATTTTATTTCTTAAATCGCGCGTTATTTGCAACAATTTCTTCCTTCCCGGAATAATTGCCCGATTAATTGCCCGAATAATTGATGATAATTTAAGACGGGAAAATGTGTAGAATTTCACATATAAAAAAATGAGATATATTAAAGTAATTATCGCCTGCAAATCTTTTGACCACTTAATTTTAAAAAAAATTTTTTATTCATTTATTAATGTCAAAAAATAATATGTCAGATTATATAATTTATAATATATATATATATATATATATATATATATATATATATGTCATCAACTTTTTATAATAATGCTATATAAAAATATTAGATGAAGCCCCATGTTAATTTAAATCTCAACTTTACCTAAAATATACCTTTGTCTATTATACGACAGAGAGTTTACACAGAGTTTAATAATAACAATATATGAAAAATATATGAAAAATATAAGAAAGAAGAATAATATATGAATATAAAAAAGAAGAATAATATATGAAAAATATGTGAAAATGAATAAAAATATAAAGACCTGTGTATGCCAGTGTCTTAGAATCGTCCATGTCGGAAGCTAAATGCAGACTGATACTTTTTTATGAATTTAGCATTTCTCCCTCACTTTTTACGATACAACAATTACGCATGTCCATGGCAAAAGTTCTGAAACTCACGAACTTTATTGAGCTGTAAAGTACGGACATGTGCATAAATATTTCAAACACCAATGTTCGCCGTGTCTTTTTTACGCGTGTCAAACCGTAATTCGAAGAATCGAATTAGTATAGCCCTCCTGTAACATCGTTAAATACTTTATAAATAATAGATGCAACGGCCTCCAATTTTTCTGACGTTTATTATTAATTTATCCTCCCATATCTCTTTTCTCGCTGAACTTACTTTTTTTCAACAATTTGAATTTTCGGAAACTTAACTGAGACGCGTCTCTCTTTTATTAAACGAACTTTAAAAATATAAAGAATTAATCGACATCACAGTTTTGCAAGCGACACATTTGAATGATATAGTTTTGATGACAGAGTTTTTATCAACGAAAGATGACAATACGAAATACTAAGATCATTATAAAAATTAACAAAATAGAATGAATATGTGTGTAAAAGAAAACCGTTTAGTTTTAAAACATCATTTCATTTAACACCTGACCAAAGAAATCGTAGGAGAATTTTAAAAATTCATTTTGTTGTTTATGGAATTTAATTTAAATTTTTCGAGTTAATTTTTTTCATCGGCGCAGATTATCAAAACTACATAATTTTAAGAATAAATTTAAAAATAAATAATAATTTCTTTTTTTGAAAGCAAAGAAAATGAAAATAAAAATATTTTTTCAACTACTAATATTATCTTAAAATTGAAACTTCAAAATACTTCTTTAATTTTTTATCTACAATGAAATTTCGTTTAAATTTTAATGAAATTATATATAATTATATTAATAATTATATAAATTATATATAATTATATTTTTAATAGTGTATACGTATCTACGTGTTTACATCAAGATATAAATTGTTATAATAACATAATGGAGTGTGCGAGAGATGATGTTTATTGACAGATTTTATTGACAGTTCAAGTGCGATCGATATATTGTGAATAAATAATAACTTATTAACAATTTCAACATATAAATTGCTATATTAAATATGTTATATGTATATGTAAAGAGACAATATTATTAATTTGAAACATTTTAAATGCATGTCTCTACAATTTATTGAGATTCTAAATCAATTAAACAGCTTGAATAATATATAAGACAGTTTTGATAAAATTTAAAATATTCTCTCAATAATATAAATATGATTATTTATTGCAATTGATTATACACATGAGAATTTATTTTGTTCGAATTATAGCGATACCACTTTGTCACGTGAATACATGAATTAAACAGTTTGATGCATTAATTAAATGCTGTTGTCTGTCGGAGATTATATTCAAGTCAATGTCCAAAAATCATTAATTAGCGAGCAGTACTACAGCAGGATATATAACCATCTGATCAGCTGAAAGCAAAATATAAGAGATACAAATGAATGCTTATAAGATATGTACATATAAAATATATATTTTTAAGAAAACATTATAATCTAATATTCTATAAAATTGCGCGAATATTTAAGTAGCTATCTTACTGTACAAAACATGGATAATGTCATTGGAAATATTTTTCCTGTAATATAGAGAGGTCTTTTGGCGCGAATCATCTTCGTCAGACTTCTGACTTAATTCTGTTTCAGTTTATACCATGCATAATCATAGGTCACATAACATATGCCTTCACATTGCATACATATTATTATTATCTAAATAAGTATATTAAGATCTTTATCATATATATAGATAATACGTTGGAACAGCTTGGAACACCCAAGGAATATTGTAAAATGCAAAATTCGATAAAATGGATATTAATTGGATATTATGGTTCATGATTTGTGTAACACGTGTAATTCTTTACTACGATTTAACTTTCGTAGACTGATCCACAAAATGTAGTCTGACTGCTTTTTTTGACCATAAACGGTACGACAAATGTCACATACAATTATAAGCTATATAAATATTTAATTTGACTGCAATTTGATGTGTTTTCGAGAAATCGTTAATCTTTCCTTTCACACATTCTCGATTGTGTATTATAGCTTATTTAGAAATCGTAATCCAGAGCTCTTGATAACTGCACACATTTATAACGAAAGGATTATATTTACAGAAAGAAAATGAAATTTGTAACAATACCTGTGCGGTTCAAGTTATTATACCATCAATTTATTAAATAATTAACAATTCAAGTAAAACAATTTTGATTAAAATGTTGTTTTCCACGTATAGTGCTAATACATTGTCCGAAATTTCAAAAATTTTAATTGATTTATGATGATATAAAAGGCAGAGTAAGAGAAGAAAGAATTGTTCAAAACATATTTGAATTTGTAAAATATTTAAATAAATATCGAGAGTTAAAAATGGAAAAAAACTTAAATCGGATTAAATAGATTTTATTTTTAAATTATTTTATATTAATCAATATTTATATTAATTATTATTTTATAATAATTAATATATATTAATTATTATTTTATAATAATTAATATCTATTAATTATTATTTTATAACAATTTATCTACATAATAGATTGTCACATTATTACAGCATATAAAGTATTCTCACAAAAAAGTCATTTTTAATTTTCGAGAAATATAATAATACTTATTTAAATATTATTATAATTAATATTGAACAATATTATAACGATTAATGTAAAGAGCATTTCTAGGATTTCTGATGTTTTTATATTTCATTTTTTTAAGACTACTTTTCTTTCATTTTCTTAAGTTTTGCCTTCTCTTCGCTGCCTTTTCGTTTTTCGGAAGGAAATCGCGAACAAAAGAATCACCGCACACGATCATACGTCAAGAGAATCAGTTTCTTCGCAAAAAATTACGTAAATATAATACATAATTATTATGAAACGTTATTATGAAATCAGTTCCCAGCATGAGTCATGATGCAACTAGTAAACTTTCCGAACGTGTATTGTACATATGAAATGTATATGTGTATGAGTATATGGATATATGCACTTATGTCTGGGTTTATTCGGTTGCATGGTGATCAAGGGGTAAAGCGGAGAAGGATTACTGATTTCCGGATAAGTGCTTAAGTACAGTTAAGCGCAATACATGGACAGGTCGATTAATGTGCACATATTGCGACAGCATTCCTCATAGAGATCTTCCCATTTTCGTGGCCTATCGGCGAACAGTTCCTTCAACGTCTCCTCTGCTCTTGCTCGGGACAGGAACGGGGAAGAGTCGGAAACATACCGAAGATTGGCCATCTTCATTTCTGAAAAAAAGTGCAAACTTTTGTAGCAGTGTGTACAAATAATATAAAAAGATCGTATCGTTCAAACACTTTCTGTGCGTGTAAATATTGTCTTTCAAACTCTTTCTATTAACTTTCTAAACATTATGATTATTACAAATGCGAAAAATCGTTTCATCGAGAATTTCCGCAAATCATATATACAATGGTTAAAATGAGATGGTCAATAGAATTATAATAAGGCATTATTTTAATAAACAGTTCATTTGATACATGCGCATTCCAGATAGCCTCATTTTTTTAAACTCGTTTAATCGAAGGCTACGTAATGACATGGATAAATAATCACTGTCCAACAAATGCCTTATTATAAATATTTCATGTGCTTTAAAAAAAAACTATCGCATTTATATGATTTTTAATAGATTACAGAATAGATTTATCGGTATATCATATTAATAACAGTATTTAAAAAATTTGTATAAAATATTTTATAAAATATTTATAATCTAAATGGCAATTAAAACAATATTTAACAATTAATTAAAATTTCTTCTATTTTATTGTATAAAACACATACGCATATGCGATTAAATTTTAACAATAAGAGATACATTAAAAAATTCATAAATGAATCATGCTGGTTAAACTATCATCTTCAACTATAATTACAAATAATAAAATCTGATAAAGAAAACATTGTATACATTTAGGAAAGAAATATATTATTTAACATTGTTGCAGAAATAAAAAAATTTGCTCATTAATCCATTACCGATGTATTTTCTATCCTATTTGGCGTTTGGATTCGTTTATATAAGCGAAAAAAAATATCTTCCGTATTGATTAGCTTTTGTGCTTACCTTGATATCTACTATTATCATTACAGACTGTACGTAGAGTATTTAAGAGCTCTTCGCCACAATATTTCTGGGGCAAGGTCGGCTTCTGGTTGGGGTAGCCGTTCGTTTGTGCGTCTCTTGATTCCGACATAAGAAATGCGATGACGATCATCAGGCTCACAAGCACGTTCAATTGGTTCGTGAACATCTGAAAATATCCGTTCTCATTTAATTACGCGAACGCATACACGAGGTTGGATTAAAAAATTAAAAGATGGAATATATTATATATTTATATTTATCAGAGAAATATTTATTATATATTTTATATTTATATCAGAGGAAATAAGCTTTTTCGGAGATAGAAAGATAAATGAGAATAGAAAAATAATTAGAGAATATAAAACATAAGTAAGCATGTGTTAATTAAAAGTAGATTAAAATTGTGAACAGCAGTGTCATTCCGCAACCTTCGACCAAATAAATTGAAAAAATGAAGGAATATCTGGAACACGCGCGGACTAGACAAACTGTTTACGTTTGTTTGTAGTTACGTAGTTTAAAGAAATAAAAAGGTTTTATACAATGCACAGGCCTTTTTTTTTTTTTTTTTTTTTTTTTTTTTTTTTTTTTTTTTTTTTTTTTTTTTTTTTTTTTTTTTTTTTTTTTTTTTGTACACTTAAAATAAAAATATAAATAAATACGAATCTAATAATTCAAAATTATATTCCCATATATTTCAGTTAGGATTAACGATATTAACGATATTTATTTCGCGACTTTTCAAGGATGTGACCTTCCAATAATGATATCGTGTGTTGTTCATAGTTTGTACGAAAATACACACATACATGTACGCATGTATTTCCGTTAAATTTGAAAGTATAAAGTCTTGTTTTTAGTAAAGATATCGAGAAAGATCATTAACTGAGCTTTAAAAATTAAATATCTATTAGTTCTAAAGTGTCTTTAGAATTAATGAACGAATAATTTTATATATATATACTTTATACAAATATCGAAGCTTGTTTTATAAAAAGCAAAATTTCATTTTCAATAACTTACAACTAAATAGAGATAATTATCTCAGTGCCTCAATATTTTCATTATATCAATAAAGATCGAATTTAAATGTACTTTCGATATAATATTAATTTGAATATCGGTATACTTTTTAATTTGAACTACATCGTTTTAGGCTACAATTTACATAAATACACTTTTATTTTGATGTTTCAAGGTTGATGAGGGAATTTATTCGCGATTGATTTATTCGCAAACAACATTTCATTAAACGTGTCAGAGTCATTACCGCAGTAGACACATTGGCTTGCTCCTTTGAAAAAGCGTAAAGTTAATATAGGGCAAACCACTTCTATTTGCGGCGCATTGAAATTAGAGATAGAAATTAGCGTTCAACTAAGCTATAACTGAATGAAATGACGCATATTGATGTCGAATTATATCTAATATTATTTATCTTTTCCTCGCGATTAGTACGACTGAAAACACGCACATTTCCAATTCGTAGCGTTATTGCTCCGATAGATCAAAATTTAATTATATTTACGATTTATCATAAAACTCTAAATATATATACTGAAATGAAATTCCAAACTAAATTAACATTCTGTCTTTAAAGTTGATGAGGCAATTTCTGAACGTTATTTCTAATATCTACTTTAATATTTCTTTTACATACCTTGAGAGTTTATAAAGATTTTGCACTTTGATCCGGAAATCTTCCTTAAATATTCAGAACGGTAATCCAACTATATTTTTCTTTGTCTGAAAGAACTGCGTGATCGTCGGTGAGTCGTTCTCGTCGATCTGAAGAAGTACATCTTTCAAAATATGAACCCGAGGATGGGGGAAATAATTGTGTTTTATGTTTTGTGTATTTATGTTTTGCGAACGGGCAACTCGTGGCATCTTACTGTGAAGATAATAAGCGCGATCGCACGTCGTCGATACGCCG